CGGCGCAGCGGCCCGGCCCCCCCGGGGATGCTCAGTGCCGGGCCGGGGGGGTGTGGGGGTTAACCCCCGTTAGTTTGGGGGGGGGGGGGTTACAGCCGGGGGGGGGGGTGTGTGAGCTCACTGCCCGGGGGAGGGCGGTGGGAGGTGCCTCCCGAGACCCGTCCAATGAGCTGGCGGGGGGGCGGGGGGGCCGGGCTATAATGCTATTGATGCCGGGCGGAGGAGACAGACAATACCGCGCCCCCGGAGCCGGGCTGCCCGGAGCGCCCCTGCCCTGCCCCGCTCCTCTCCCACCATGATGTCCATGAACAGCAAGCAGGCGTTCAGCATGCACCCCATCCTGCACGAGCCCAAGTACCCCCACTTGCACACCAGCTCCGAAGCCATCCGCAGAGCCTGCCTGCCCGCCCCCCAGGTAAGCCCCGGGGCCACCGCGCCGGGGGTCCCCCCTCCCCGGGTTGGAGGGGTTTGGAGGGAGAGGCTGGCGTGGGGTGGGGTGGGGTGGGGTCCGCACCCTCCGACCGCGCTGCGCTTTCCCCAACTTCACCAACCGCTGGTTTCCGTCTGGGTTGGGGTTGCTGTTGGGTTTTGGGAAGGGGGGTGTGGGGGGGTGGGGGGGGGGAGTCTCTCCGGGTCCGGCGGGCTGGGGGGTGTCCGTGCCCCGGCGCGGGGGGGCGCGGAGAGGGGCTGGGATGGAGCTGCCGTCCTGCCCGACTCCGCCGTGCCATCCGGGGGAGCGGAGGCTCCACGGGCCGCCCGCGGCTCCGGCCCCCTCGGCGGCTGCTCGCTTTTTTGGGGGGAGGTCCCCCCGGGGGGGGTGAAGGGTGGGTGCCCAGGCTCCGGCACCCTCCTCCTACTCCTCCTTTGATTTGGGGAGCGGGTTGAACTCGGGTCACCTCCCCCGTCCCAGGCGCTGCTGGAGGGGCAGAGCGGGATCTCCGGAACGCGGCTTTCCTTTTAATCCTCTCCCGGTCTTTCGGTTTGTTTTTGCTTCCCCCCCCCCCTTTCATCCCCCGTCCAGATCCAGGGTAACATTTTTGCGGGTTTTGACGAGACCTTGCTGCGGGGTGCTGAGGCTCTGGCCGCTGTGGATATAGTATCGCAGAAAACCCACCCCTTCAAGCCGGATGCCACCTACCACACCATGAGCAGCGTGTCCTGCACTCCTACCTCGTCCTCCGTCCACCTGCACCACCCGTCCGTGCTGACCACGCACCATCCCCACCACCACCACCACCACCAGTCCTCCCAGGGCCTGGACGGCGAGCTGCTGGACCACCTCAACTCTGCCCTCCCGCTCGGAGGGGTGCCGGGCCCGGACGTGGGCTCCACACCTTCTCACCCTCACTCCCACATGTCGGCCATCAACCACATGGCCCATCACTCCCAACCCATGAACATGTCCCACCCCCACGGCCTCGCTTCCCACGCTGTCATCTCCGGCCCCGAGACGGAGACGGACCCCCGGGAGCTGGAGTCCTTCGCCGAGCGGTTCAAGCAACGGAGGATCAAGCTGGGGGTGACCCAAGCGGACGTTGGCTCCGCGTTGGCCAACCTGAAGATCCCGGGGGTGGGCTGCCTTAGCCAAAGCACAATCTGCAGGTTTGAGTCCCTCACCTTGTCCCACAACAACATGGTGGCCCTCAAGCCCATCCTAGAAGCGTGGCTGGAGGAGGCCGAGCGGGCCCAGAGGGAAAAAATGACCAAACCCGAGATCTACACGGGGGGGGACAAGAAACGCAAGCGCACCTCCATCGCCGCCCCCGAAAAGCGGTCGCTGGAGGCCTATTTCGCCGTGCAGCCGCGACCCTCCTCGGAGAAAATCGCCGCCATCGCCGAGAAGTTAGACTTGAAGAAGAACGTGGTGCGGGTCTGGTTTTGCAATCAGAGACAGAAGCAGAAAAGGATGAAATTTTCTGCCACCTACTGAAGAATGGGGGGGGGGGGGGGCAGTGGTGGGGGAGCACCTGCCCCCGTAACCAGCCCACCACGGTCCCGGCCCCGCCGCCACGGGCAAGGCTGGGGGGGTTCTTGGCTTTTTTTTTTTTTTTTTTTTTTTTTTTTTTGGTTTAAAAAGAAAAATAAAATTGGAAAACAACGAAAAAAGGAAAACCTAAAAAAAAAAAAAAAAAGGGAAACCCACTCAAAGCAAAGCGAACAGTTTGGTGCCGGCTCCTCACCCCCGGGCGAAGCGGCCCCACTGTTGTGACTGGTACAGACTGCTTTTGTAGGTAAAACTGGAGAAAAGATGGAGAAAAAATGAAAAGACAAAACGAAAGGTCTAAGGGGGGAGTTTTGGGGTGCCCGGAGTCACGGCAGCAGCAGCGAAAACCTGGTGGGTTTTGTTGCAGCCCCTCAGCTGGGCAGGCGGAGGCCACGGCACCGCTTGCTCCTCTGTGCCCGGTCCTCTTCTTTTAAAAAATTAAGGTTAAAAAAAAAAAAAAAAAGAAAAAAGAAAACAAATATGGAAGAAAATGAGCTCCGAAGCCGCCCCGGAGGGCTGTAAATATGGAGGTGCCGGGCTGTGCTCCCCGTGCCCGCTGCCAGGGTCCCCGCGCACACACGCGCACACACACACGCTTGCATGGTTTTGTTCGCTCTCCCCTGCCCTCAGCAAACCCATTCGCATTTTTGCAATAACGTTTCTGTTTCTACCTCATCGGCTAAATTAAAAAAAAAAAAAAAAAAAAAAGGATAAAAAAATAAAAAAAGAGAAAAGAATAAAAAAAAAAAAAAAAAGAAAAAAAATTTGGCACGTCCCTGGAGTCGCGGTTTGTTCGGGGAAAATTATTTATTTTGCTTTGGTTTCACTACAACTGTTCGATATCCGTATGATTTCACTGTAAAAAAATATCCTACGCTTCGACAATCAAGTCATTGGGGCTCCGAGGAGCGGCCCGAGGCAGCGGGGATGGGCGGGCGGCCCCGGCCCGGCGCTCCGCGGAGGCGGCTGCCTTTGCAAATAGTGAACTCTGCACTTTCTACGGCAAGAATACTCTTTTTTTTTTTTTTTTTTTTTCTTTTTTCCTTTGCATATTTAATAGAGAAATTTGCCTCCGTTTCCTTTTTTTTTTTTTTTTTTTTTTTTAAAAAGAAAAATTTAAACAAGATTTCGTTTCGCTGTGTGTGTGCTGAATGAAATTTGGTGTCTGTGTACGCTGCAGCATTTCAAATAAATCATGCACGTTTTACCTCACCCTCCTGCCTCCTGGAGTTACTGCGGCCGCCGGGGACCCCCCCACCCCCCCGGGCCGGGGACCCCCTTTCCCCGGGGGCTCCCCCAGCCCATCCCCGCCGCCTCCGGCCGCCGGCTCCTGTCGGGGTAAGGGGCGGCGGGGGGGGGGGACGCGCACACACTCGCTCCTTCTTCCTTCGTGGGGAAAGAAACGAAAAGCAACGAAACGCGGGGCAGAAGCGGCCCTTCCCCACGCGGGACGGCGCGGGGGGGGGGTCGCCCCGGGTCACTCGTGGGGTTTCAGCCCCGCCGGCCGGGTCTGGAGCCGGGGAGGAGGGAGCGGGGTGTGTAGAGGGGTTTCACCCCTTCCCCACCCGGTACCCAACCCAAACTCGGCGTGTTTCGAAGCCCCGCGTGTCGCTCCACGGGTGGGTTTTGTTTTGAAGCCGGGACGAGGCTCCCACGGGTTAAATCCGTTGTGTGTGTCTGTTGGGGGGGGGGGGGGAAGCGCTGCCGCAAACGACTGCGGGGCCGGGCTGAGCCCCTCGCCCCCCACTTCGCCTTCCCGGGGGGGCCCCCTCCGGGCCCCGCCGCGCTGCCACTCGAGACGGGCTCACAAAGGGATATTTTAACTCCCGGCTCTGCTCAGCCTCGAGTTTCGTTTCCCGCAGCCGATCGCATCGGGAAGGAAGCGAAGCCGCTCGGCAGCGGGGGGAGCGGGGTGTCCCCCCGCCCCAGCGGGTGCGCCAGAAAAATAAAGTGATATTTTCCAGGGGTTTGGGGTTTTTTGGTTGGTCGGTTTGGTTTTTTGTTTGTTTGTTCGGGGTTTTGTTTGTTTGTTTTTTGTTTGTTTTGTTAATCTTTTTTTCTTTTCTTTTCTTTTTTTTTTTTTTTTTAGAAACTTATTCGAGGGGGGGGAAATATCCAAAGGCAAGGAGCCGGGAGGAGCGGGGGGGGGGGAGCGGGGGTGCGATGCTGCACCCTGACAGCCGGAGCCCTGCGGTGGCACAGAGTGGTTCCCGAATCTGCAGATTTTTACAGAAGAAAAAAAAAAAAAACCCAGACCCAAAAAAATAGCCAACAACTGAAAAAAAAACCCAAACACCTGAAAAGAGGGAAAATTGTGCAGCGCCCGAAATAACTGTCGGGGGAGCTGCTTCCCCCGGGGGAGCAGGGCAGAGCCCTGCCTGCACCGTGGGAACGGGAGCAGCCCCCGGCCCCCCCCCGGCCCCCCGGCTCTATTCCTGGGGCTCCTCACAAACCCCCCTCCCCGCCTTTGTTCTTCCGCTCCGTTCTTGTTTTTTCCATGAAGCGAAAAGCGCATTTTCATAAATAGACCTTGGCCAAGTGCTGGCGATGAAATTTTAATGAAGGCTGGATGCTGAGTGCTGCCCGGGGGGGCCTTGGAGAATCAGCTCCGCGCAGCATTAGCAGGGCCCTGTTCGCTTTCCTACCCCCACCTCCTCGGCCCCCCCCCCCCCCCCCCCCCCCCCCCCCTTTTCCCAGCTCCCTCGCAGACATAACCCACTCCCGTCTGCCGCTGCTCCTGCCTCGCAGCAGCACCCCCCCGGGCGCCCCCTCCCCAAATTAGAGACACCCCCCCCCCCCCAGCCCTGTCCGGGGTGCGGTGAGGGGCGCCGGGGGGGGTCGCTGCGTGGGTTTGGGGGTCGGCGCCGGGTGGCGGCAGCTCGCGGGTGCCGCTCTGTCCCCGCTCTGAAAAGTTTGCAAAAGCGAGCGATGCAATATTTATCACCCGCGATCATAAAAAGGCGAGTCGGTTATTTCCCAGGCACAAATGCAAAGCGCTGGGCTCGGGAGCCGGAGAGGGGCTGGGGGGGAGCAAAACCCCGGTCCCGGGCTGCCAGGTAAGGGCTGGGGTGGGGGGGGTGGGGGGTGAGGGGGGGCGTCCAGCTGGCAACCGGCACAAAGGATGGGGCAACCCCGGCCAAGGAGCCATGGCCAGCAGGCTCCGAAGGGTGGGCAGCGGCTCCGGGAGCGGTGATGAGGCCTGGCGAGCTCATCACACCCGCGGGAGGAGGGGGGAGGAACTGGGCAGGAGGTGGCTGAGGGACCGATCCTGCCCCTGCTCCAGCTGCGCCCCGGTGGGGTGCGAGGCTGCGGGGTGTACGGCGGGGGTGAGCTGGGAGGGGGGGGGGGGTGGAGAAGGGCCCATTTTGCAGCCCACCCCCTTCTCCTCAGTAGCCACCTCCTGGGCACCCGGCGGGGACAAGCTGCTGGTCCTTCCCGGCGAGGGGGGGGGGGGTGGACAGGACAGCCCCGGGGGCCACATCCCAGCCACCGTCCTGCCTCTTGCTGTCTGTCCGGCTCTCGCTGCTGCTCGCCGGGGTGCCACGGCCGGGGCAAAGCTGGGGGGGCAGGGGTGGGGTGGGGGGAGCCCACCCCAGAGGCTGCGGGGCTCCCCGGCCGTCCCTCCTCGGGGGTCTCACCTCCAGCGCTCAGGCAAAAGCTGGGAAGGTAACCAGCACCCAAATTCAAGCTCTTTGCAGCCCACTTTGCACGGGGGGGAGGCCGGGGGGGGGGGGTGAGGCCAGGGCGAGGGCAGCAGTGAGAGCTCTGGCAGAAGGCAAAGGGCACACACAGGGGTGCCCTGGGCACAGGCAAAGGACACCCCTGTCCCATGACCCTAGAGCTGAAATAACATTAAATGAAAGGTGTATTGATCAGACTGGACACTCAGCTCTCACCATACATTTTTTTTTTTTTTTTTTTTTTTTCCACTTGAGCTTTGATATATAGGCTAGCCTTGAGATTGACCAAACCTGTCGCTTTGGCAGCAAGGCCACCTCTAAGGGCTCCTGCTCGCCCACCGCTGATGCTGGCCCAGAGCTCAAGGAGAAGCGGGTGGCCACCTCGTAGGGCTTGGTTCCTAACCCACCTCCGCGCTGGTGGATTGGGTGGGGTGGGCCAGGCCTTCCCCCTTCCCCAGGACATCCCGGGAACTCAAACCACAGGTAACTAAACTAACTCACCGGGGAGCTGAGCCCTGATAGACATGCGTCTGGGGGGCTGCAGAGCAGGACTGTAGACCTCTAGGCTCCAGTTATGGCCAGTGGAGAGGAACCAAGGAGTCTGCGGTGCAGCTCATCTCCTTCTGACATCGACCTCTGAGGTGGGGCAGGCGGCTGGTGCTCCAGAGGCATCTTCCTCCCCTGAAAGCCTACAAAGGTGCTGAACGACCAGCTCAGCTGGACACCCCTATCAGTGGGGATATGGCAGAGACGAGCCCTGCCCCTGGTGCTGCCAAGGCTTCCTGAGGAGAGGTGCCCACCAGTTCTGGGCTGCTGCAGCTCTCAGACATCGGTTGCTGGAGCTCTGCCCAGCGAGCACTGGGAGCTGGTGTGTCACCCTCTAGCAAGGATCTCTTTTGCAATACCATGCTCAATTCCCAGCTGTTTAGCTCCATGCCATACTCTTTTATACCTCTTTTTTTTTTTTTTTTTTTTTCCTGATATAAAAGCCAAGACCCTCTAAGAATTTGGGCACCTAGATAAATTGAGCATATAGATAAATAATCCAGGCTACTGTGTCCATGCCGCCGCCCACCAAAGTGCGCAGCAACGTGTTTAAAGTTATCCGTGCTCTGCTGAACTTGAGTTTGGTAACTCCAGGCAAAGGCAGAGGTGTTTAAAGAGATCCTGGAGGAAGCACTGTCCCTCCTTCGCCTTTGAGAATAAAGCAATATATAGGATGGCGTACGGCTGCGACGCTGCACCGGGTCCCTTTCACCTCACTTTGTTTCACAGGGACCGGCTGTGGCTCCTGAGCTGTAGCAAATGGGGCCAGCACAGCTCTCCCCCGGCCACGGGGGCTGATTTCCCTGCCGGGATGGGAAACAAGCCAAGGAAGGTTGTTGGACCAGCCATCCCCCAGTAACAGCAAGAGGCACTGCCCGATCCCGGAGGGATAACTCCAGACTAACACGCGTGCGGCTGCAACCAGCCCGGCCGCCAGAGTGGGGATACGTGAACCCCCCTCGTTCAAATATTGCTAGCACGTCACAGCTCTGCGCTCAGCTTCGGGTCTGGAGGAGAGAAAATGCTCCATGTTCTTTAAAAGATTCCTGCCTTTGAAAGCCATCCAGGTAAAGGGTGCCCCTGCTGACGGACTCTCTTCTATTATTCTATGTGTTTTAGTGCAGCGCAGAGCAGATGTATTTTTAAAGAGGCCCGTGCTTGAAGCAGGCTCTGTTCCACTACAGGGGAAAAAGGAGCAAAGCAGTAATTAAAGGCTTCATAGGTGCCCGAGCGGGGAGGAGGACAGCCGGGCTCAAGGGGGAACCAAAGAATTTGGGAAATGGGGCAGGGCGTTGCATGGGGCAAAGCCCCTGGCTGACTGCAGGGTAGGGGAGCGGGCAGGACCCTCACCCCCTTCCCCACCAGATCCATGGCTCTTCGCAAGTACCAAGCCCCCAGTCGGGCCGTGAGCCCGCCCGTGCTCTTTGCTCACTGCTGCCAAGTCCTGCCCCCAGTTCGGGGAAGCTGCTGGGGGTTTTGGCTGAGCAGGGAGCGCAGCATCGGGCCCTGCGTTGTATCTTCCAGCGGGAGCTCGGCCACACCAGGTGAGGAAAGGTCCTTCTGTGCTGTCGGACGAGGTCAGTGGCAGGGGTAGGTTGGGGACTTGCTCTGAGCAGAAGAGAGGAGGAAACATCTCGGTGGGCAGGGGGGGATGCCCGGGGCAAGCCGAGGTGGCCGGGCTGGGCTGCGTTACTGCAGCCTGGCACGCAGACCTGGGCAAATACTCACGGACCTCAGCGTTTGCGCCCCCGGGAACCTCATCTGCGCTGCAGAAATTGGGCCACTTTCCGCTCAGTCTGGTCAGAAGAGGGTGGGAGCTCCAGAAAGCAGCAGAAAAAAAGCTGGCTGGCACTCGCCCCGGAGGTATCTCCCGGTTTGCATTTCCAAGGACCAAATTCTGAGTTTCCTTCGCTCTGTTACCAAAATGAGGACTTGGGGCGCTCAGTCTGCCTGCAGTATGAGCAGCTTCAGCTCCAGCATGCAAAAATAGAGCTCCATGATCCACACGCTCATCCCAGTGACAATAAGGGATCCTACAAGTGTTATTATTTTTTTTTTAAAAAATCGGTGTTAAAGAAATACTTCCAGAAATTTAATTTTGTGCTTTTCCCATGCAAAGACCAAGGTCTTGATCTCACCAACCCTCGCCTACAGGAAAAACCCTCTGCTCACCAGCAGTCCTGCTGAAGCCCTGTGGGAACAGTCCCCCATCTTTAGCCATAAGCTCTAAGGAAGCGCTGTGGGATCCGGCTTTGGATCACTGGGTGAATCAGAGAGTAGGGAAGCTCACAGGGGATATCAGAAACTTGGGGATCCTGGAGGTAGAGAGATCAGAGATAAAAATCTATATTTCATCTGCAGCACCTCACCAACTTTTCCAGCAGTTATAGGAAAATAAGAGCTCTGTGAGAAATATGAAAATGTCAACTAAGGGCGATGTTTTATTTATACCAGGCAAGGGAGGTTTTCTGTTTCACACAAGAAAAAAAAAAAGCACGTGTGCTTGTACAAAATCTTGCTCAACTATTCTGTGACTACCCAACTGCTACCTGCGAATCAGAGGGAGTTTGTTTTGCAGAGCGTGTTTTCAGCGAGGTACACCGCAACCCTTGTCTCCAGCTCGTCAGCAGAAACTCTGCCTCATTCTTCACCAGCTCCAGGAAAGCACTTCCCAGCCTCTCTGCACGTTACCGTTGGCTAAACAGTGGAGCAAAGCCACGTTTGTCTCCCCCCTAAAACAGAGCACCCAACTCAAACGCCTGTTGGCCTTTGCAATGTGATGGGGGGGGGGGGGGGGTGTCCACCACACGTTTTTGCCCACTCTGAGTCTTGTTATCTATCCAGACTTTGAATTAGTTCCTAACACCAAGATTAACACTCAGAGCAGCATTTCTCCTGTGGTTTATCAAAATTTAGGTACCTTGGGGTCCCGAGGGAGATGAGCATTCAGGATCCTCAGATCAGGAACGGCAAATCCATTGTCCCCTTTTCAGCCGTGCGCTGCCGACACTAAAGCATGAATGGAGAGCTGGGCCAGGGTCCCTCTGGTGGGAGTGGAAGTTTGGGGCAGGACTGCTGCTTTCCTGCAGTCACCTAAATCAGTTAATGTAATTTTGGATGCCCCGTTCCTCGCTCTGAGGCACACCACGGGTGAGTCTGGTCCCTGTCGTACTCGACTTTTCATTTTCTCCCTCCACTCCCTCCATCATCTCTTCTGCTCTCCTCTCCTCCCTCTTCCCCGGGCAGGACCCCCAGTCCTGGCCACCTGCCCTCTCACACGTGGGCCACCCTCGACTAGCCCATCCCCTGGGAAATGCTGGCAGCGTGTCCCAGGCTGAGCGTGTCACCCGAGCTGAGAGGGGAGGGCTGTTTCCCTCCCAAACCCACCCAGCCTTCCTGGTGTGGGGGGACGCCCGCATCCTTGTGTGTGGGGGGGTTCCATCTCCTGCCGGCAGGACCGCGGATGCTCGCCGTGCCTGGCCTCGGTGCTCTCCCACCTCCCGACAAACCGGGACCCACCCGACAGCGAGGAGACACCGAGGGGGTCCCGGGCTCCAGCCTCCCCCACGAGAGACCCAAACCCCGCCGCGGCGCGCCAGCACAGCCCAGGGGCTCATGCCTTCTGCTGACTTTTCCCGGAGATGCTTCGAGCATCTTTGCCCGGGTTTCTCCCTCTCAAACCGCTCCGCTCAGCGCCTCGTGCCCAGTTTCAGCTCTCTGCCTCTCCCCCGCAGCCGGCGTACGGGAGGGTTGACTACCTCCGGCTTCTCGCATGGATTTTTTTTTTTTTTTTTCCCTCACCCTCGCTGTGCTGTTTGGTTCAGATCTAAGCGAGCTTTTCAAGCGTGCTGTCTGGATGTCTTTATTAAAAGGCACAGCTTAAGGAGGGGGCTGTGGGGCGAGGGGGGGGGGGATGGATCAGCTCTAGATGCTCTCCGTAGCCAAAACCATGGGAATCTTCTGCTCTGCAACTGTTCAGAGCCCCCAACAGCTGCGCGGTACAGCCGGCCGGATCAGCAGGACACGGGGTCAGTGCTTTGGCCATGACTAATTCATCACCGGGTGCAGCCCCCTCTGCTTGTTACCTTTGTGCTGCTGTCTCCTCTGGTGTAAAGGCAGGTGGGCAGACAGGGACGTGTCCCCGAGGGGTGCGAACCAGCCGGGGAGAGGGGTGGGGGGGCGAGGGCGTCGGGGGGGGGGGGGGGAAGCTGATGGAGATGCGGAGTTGTATTCCCCACGGCTCGGGGAGCTCTGCCGTGAGTCAGGGGGGGTGAGGAGTGGCCAGTCTATTTGTGACACCAGCTTACGAGGTATAGGTTTCCCTCGGGAAACTTTGAGCCCCGGATCAAATTTTGTTCTCAGATACCTTGAAACGGAGGCAATCATTCCAGGCGGTGCTGATATTGCCAAAAGCCGGGTCTCTGGGAGTCCCTCTGACCCTCTGGAGTGTCGGCGGTGGCTGCTGGGCCCCGGGGGGGGGAGCAGGGTCCCGGTGTCTGGGCATGGACCCCCAGCCCTGACTTCTAGCAGGAGCTCCCGGGAGCTGTCAGTGCCTGCGAGCGGTGAGAAGAGCAAGCTGGCCTCTCGCCCGAGAGCTGGACTCCCGTCAAAACAAAACGCTGGCCGGCACTTTGCTGCACCAGCCCGGAGGAGGGCAGAGGCTCAGGCACAATTAGGGACTCGTCCCTGTGACGTCCCGACCCTCAAGTCCTGGCCAAAGGCTCTTGACCTTCTGCCGCCCCAGATCGACCCCGCCGTTCGGTTTAGACGTGGTGTTTTCCTTCGCTCTGTGTCTGGAAGAGCGCTGTTAAGCAGCTGCCGTGCTCGGCACCAGAAGCAGCTGCATTAAGCGCTCCTCTTGCCGGGGGAAGTGCCTGATTTTGGCCGTGATGGCTGTGCATCTCCCCTGTGAATGACTGGCTGTTGTAACGATACTAACTGAGCCAGCCACATGCTTCATAATGTCAATTGTAGTTCAGTGTTAATTATTTATGATAAAACTTCATAATGTGCTGTTAAATGGGCTGCAGGATATTTTGGTTAAATTAAGGAAACCTTAAAGGTCCCTCTGTAGGGCCTTGCTCTTTGGGCCTTGCTGAGAGCAAAGGTTCAATTAAAGCTTAGGCGTTGTGGCCTCTGCCTATGGCCTCCAATTATTGAATTCAGGGGAGCATGGCGATCAGTTCAATAGCTCAGCTTCGTCGTTTCCAACAGCGAAATTCTAGGTGAAGCGTTTACTGCGAAGACGTCAAGACCGGGTCTGCAGAGTCTCCCCTTGAGTCTGCAGAGAGCCTGAAACAGGGGCCGTGGTGCCTCCCAAGCTCGGGCTCGCCCCCTGCGCTCCCCCCCCGGGGCCACGGAGCCGTGTTTGCTGCTGGGGGGGGGTCGGCCAGTGCTCTCACAGACCTCGCAGTGCCTTTGCAGGGTCGGCTCTGGGCGAGCATGTTGGCCTGGGGCCCCTGCACGGACGGGTCTGGCAGCCTGAGCTCCGGAGACCCGAGCCACCCCAGTGGGGACAACCCTGAAGGGATGTCCAGGCCACTTGTCCTGCCCTTCTTGGGACGCAGGTCCTCCATCCCTCTCCCCAGGATCACCTCTGCCAAGCTAGGGAGAGGGCGCTTGGTCTGCTTGGCCCCACAGACACAGCAGTGGCCCTTCCACGGAGGTGGGGGGGTGGCTGATGCTTCCACTGGCCCTGAGAAGCTGCTTAACTGGTACGTTAGTTCATTAAAATCCTCAAGCGATTTGGAGTCCTTCAGAAGCGAAGGAGGACAAGGGGTGACCTGCCCTCACCACCCCACAGGCGAGGGGATGAGCCGGGGTGGAGCAGCTCTCAGGGGACTTGCCAAACCCCCGGAAGGGACTTTATTCCAACTGCAGGAAGATTTCAGAGAGCGGGAAAACCAGTGATCAAAACCAGCACTCAGGGCCCAGACCTTGCACTCAGGTGGCCGCTCTTACTTCACTGCCTGCTTTCCTTAAATATGGCTTGACCCTACTTCTGAGCAGGGTGGACAAGAGCCCCAAAGAGAGAGGAGAGGATCTGTCTGTCTGTCTGTCCTTCCTCCGCAGCCTTCCTTTTCCAGAAGGATGAACTTTGCACCCTGCAGCCCCAGACAAGCCTGGCCCTTCCCGCCCGGTGGCTTGCATGGAGCAGGAGATGGCAAGCTGGGGAGGTCTGAGCATCAGCCAGCTCTGCCAGGGCAAGTCTTTTTCTGGGCCAGCAGCACCCCGTGCACGGCTCTGAGCGAAGGCATCTCCCTCAGTCTGAAGCAAGGTCCTCTCCAGGCTCCCTCTCCCGGGTTTCGTCCCCTTGCAAACCACCCAGCTTGCTTCCTCAGCAGCACTCACACCCGGGCCCTGCTGCCCCTTGTCCCTCAGGCTCTGCGCAGCGCTCGCACCAACCGTTTTGGGGACCAGAGCTGCCCCTTGGGTGGCCCCTGAGGCAGAGCTTGGCTCTAGCACCCCGCCGTGCCCTTCACTGCTGGGCTAGTGCATAGCAGGGGACGGCTGCTGTGCTTTCTGAAAAGCAAGGGGTGCTGCTCAGCCCCTGCCAGATAATGTTAGTCAGGATGTATCCCGTCATTAGTCCTAGCTGGGCAGGCTTAGCAGAGTCCCTGACTGAAACTCCGCTGGAGGTGGGGTTCATATACCACCCTGGGGAGGGGTTTCTTCTCCACTGAGTCTCACCCTGCCACCGCGCCAGGACACCCTTCTCCAGGGCCCGAATGCCTGCATGGACTTGGGAGCCCAACATGCATTTGGGATCTGTGAGAATCAGATGGCTCAGAGTGAGGTATCGTGGCACTTAAATGTTTAACGGGATCATCCACACCAAACATGCATGGGGGACCTGAACCTAAACAGGGACTCGAGGCCAGCTCCCCCGCTTGTAGCCTTGTCTTCACTTCATTTTTGGGGTTTCTACTGAGTCTACAGCTTGGCAGGACAACATGTTGCATCAGGCCCTTGGTGACTCCCGACTTCACCAGATTTTTGCAGGCTGTGAAGATGGGCCAGGTCGCTCCCAGATTCTCTTCTCTTCCTTATCCATGGGCAGATGCACTGGATTTTCCTCTCACCTGATCAAGAGCTTCCCAGCAAATGGTTAAGGAGCTGCTTGCAGGGCCTGCAGCTCCGTTTGTTTGTTAATGGTGTTTACTCTGTGTGCTCGCCGATGGTTTAGACCATGACGTTCCAGCTCTCTGCCTGGAAAGGGGCCAAAGCCACAAAGTCCTCTCGGGGTGGCTGGGTGAATGCACCTTGCATCGATCCCCCTGCAAGCTGGGCCATGCACAAGTGCTCCCCCTGCTCAGTGGAAAGCCCATGGGGATGCAAATGAAAACAGCGATGAACCCCACGGTGGGCTTCGCTTCTGCAAATACCTACACATTTTCTCAGTGGCCTATTTGCTCTAACGGAGGGCACCATGTCTAGATTTGTCTTTAAGCTGGCCTAAAGCCTCCAGTGGGCAACTACCTGCAATGCAAAAGCTTATCTCAGCCCCTTCCACATCAAGCACCTTCATGGGATTTTGCTTTTCCCCCTGTTTGTCCCTTGGTCCCGCTGTATGTTCAGTACTTGTGCAGCCATGTGAGGCTCGGAGGAGACCATCTGGTTGCTGCCCCCAATTCCCTGCATCCCTCACCTTCTCTCCACGGCCCACGTTGGGGCACAAACTCATCCGATGATGAGCAAACCCTGGAGGGTCTTTGACATCATGCGGTGCCAGGGAAGGTGTCTGTGCAAGGTGTAGCTGGATTTGCGTGGCCACGGGCTATGACGGAGATGAGGATGGTTCCTGTAGCTCAGTTTGGGTGAAGGTTGATTGTGAAATCAAATTAAGCTTCTCTGGTACCATAGCTCTGACATTGAGAGCGGGAGGGATGAGTGAAACTTCTAGTACCTGGAGATCAAAGTTTTTTCTTGCTTTGGGTATCACTGAACAATAATGCAATCTAAATAAGTCCCTCCCACTCACAAACCCTGTGCCATTCAAATCTCACAGCCTGAAAACAACGTGTCCCTGCTCAGCTTGGCCACCTGACTATACACACCATGTGTATGCCAAGCCTTGAATTGCCTTTGTTGCATTGGACAAACCCATGTCATTTAGTGTCAAATTTTAATACCCTCTGCTCTGTGTGCGGACGAGAATGGGAGAAATGGGCTGTTGTGGTGGCTCCTCAGCAAAATCAGGCCTGAGGACAGCCCCGGTCTGGAAAGACATGGACTGGCTGATTCACTCCCTGCTTTCAGGTCTTCCACAGCAGGTAGGAATAATCCCTCTTTTTCCCATCCCTGAGATACAACTCAAGCTACCACCTCTCTTGCTTCTCTCTTGTTTTGTGCTTTCAGAGGTGATGCCCAAGTCCACTGTGTCTGGTTCTGTGCAGTCCAG